TGACTTACAGTGCTAAAAATTGATTTTTTTTTGTTTGTTGATCTGCATGTTAGCTCATGGTGGAGGGGAGGGATGCTGCTTCAAGCTGTAGGTTGGGTTTAGGTGTGCTCCTTCTGTCTGATTCTGAGACTTGCGACTATCCAGGGCATTCCCTTCTCATGGCAGATAGCAGAAGTGCAAGAAGAGCAGCAGCAGAAACATGTGATGTCTCTTCAGGCCATAGCTCGGAAGTGACACTCTCACTTCCACCCACATTCCATTGCCAAAGCAAGCCACAAGGACAAGCTCAACATCAGTGGATGGGGAAGTATGTTCTGCCTGCTCTTGTGAGAGGCACTGCAAATTCACGAGGCATTCTGATTAGCTATGCCTGAGTCACATTTACAACTGGAGGTTGGGGTGGAATCAACTCCACTTAAAACACGTGGACTAAGAGACGGGAAGACGGTGATTCCCCTAAGGAAATCCGAGTACTCTTACAGAAGAAAAGGCAGCAGATTCTGAGTGTCCAAAAATAAGTTGGCTAACACCCAAATGTGATATGTGATAGTGTACTGAATTTATTATTTCTTATGATAGGGAAACAAGAATAAATTGTAATTTTTTAAAAATCTGAGGAAAAGTAAAATTCTGCTGCTATAGGATCAATAAGTGAAATCAGTTTCTCATTCTGAACAAAAAAGAAAGAAAACAAAATTTCAAAAACTGTTGCTCATATTCAGTATTTGGATTCACTAATAAAATGGTTGTCCACAATATTGGTTATGAACTAGAGAACCACCACCACAAGACTTATGTTGAAGCCAGATGCTAGATCAGGTCAAGAGAGAGTACAGTGTAAGGGTATATTTTCTTTTTATATTTTCTTTTAATATTTTCTTTTTATTATTTATTTATTTATTTTGAGACAGTCTCACTCTGTTGCTCAGGCTGGAATGCAGTGGTATGATCTCAGCTCACTGCAACCTCTGCCTCCTGGGTTCAAGCAATTCTCCTGCCTCAGCTGAGTAGCTGGGATTACAGGCACATGCCACCACATCCGGCGAATTTTTTTGTATTTAAGTAGAGACAGGGTTTCACCATGTTGGCCAGGATGGTCTCGATCTCCTTTCCTCATGATCCATCCGCCCTGGACTCCCAAAGTGCTAGGATTACAGGCATGAGCCACCGTGCCCAGCTGGGGTCATATTTTCTTGGGATATCCTATGATCTGAATATTTATGTCCCCCCAAAATTCATATGTTGAAATCCTAACCCCTAAATCGATAGTATTAGGAGGTAGGGCCTTTGGGAAGTGATTAGGCCATGAAAGCAAAGCCTCATGACTGGGATTAGTTTCCTTATAAAAGAGACCCCAGAGAGCTAGCTAATGCCTTACACCATGTAAGGGCGCATTTAGAAGGTGCCATCTAGGAATCAGGAAGCCCTCACCAGACATTGAATATTCCAGTGCCTTCATCTTGGACTTCTCAAAACTGTAAGGAGTCAATTCCTGTTGTTTATAAGCTACGTAGCTTATGGTATATTTTTACAGCAGCCTTAATGAACTAACACAGGATAGGAGAGAGTGGGGTTTCTCAACCTCAGCACTGTTAACATTTAGGGCCAGATAATCCCTGGGTGGCGGGGGTGCTATTCTGTGCATTGTAGGAAGCTTAGCAGCATCACTAGCTCCCATCCACTAGATTCCAGTAGCACCTCTACCTCCAGGTTATGAAAACCAAAACTGTCTCCAGACATTACCAATATCCCCCTGAGACACAAAATCACTCCTACTTGGGGCCTGGGGTGAAAGGGAAAAGGAAGAAAACAAGCAAACACCTTTATTTTCCCCTGCCTCTATCCTTTCTTTCTCATTTGGTGTAAGAGAAGATAAACCTCTGGGGAATGCAATTTATTTGGAAGCCTAGAGTATAGCTGAAGCAGGAGACAAAACCTGTAGGATCAGATAGTGGCGGCAGGTGCTGGGTGGGGAAGGGGGTCTCAATAGCCAATGGCTCTCCCAAGGAGCTCCCGGTCTCTGCTGAAGCCAATGGGAAATCATTAGGTGGGACGGGGAGCACGTAAGCAGATTTGCATTTTAGAACAAAAAATCAGGCCGGGTGCAGTGGCTCACGCCTGTAATCCCAGCACTTTGGGAGGCCGAGGCGGGTGGATCACGAGGTCAACAGATCGAGACCATCCTGGTCAACACAGTGAAACCCCGTCTCTACTAAAACTACAAAAAATTAGCTGGGCATGGTGGCGCGTGCCTGTAATCCCGGCTACTCAGGAGGCTGAGGCAGGAGAATTGCCTGAACCCAGGAGGCGGAGGTTGCGGTGAGCCGAGATCGCGCCATTGCACTTCAGCCTGGGTAACAAGAAAAATCCCTCATAAAAAAAAAAAAAAAAAAAAAAAAAAGAACAAAAAATCACTCTACTAGCGTGGAAAATGACCCATAAAAGTGCATATCAGAGCAAGGGAGATACTCCTCTTACATTATTATTTTATTTCCACCAAGAGACGTTCTTATTACCCCTACCACTCAGGAAATCCCTAGGCTTTTAGAAGCTGTGTCAGAAACCAGGAACAGAAATACAATATGTATTTCTTATTTTTAGGTGCATCACTCACATAAAGAGACCACTAGGCAGGCTTTGTATGGGCTAGGAGGCCATTTTATTTCGCATTTGGGTGCAAGCGGGCCAAGTCCAAGGAAGGAGTTAGGTGAGGGGCGTAAAAATGGGGACTGGTTATGTGAGTTGGGGCAAATACTCAGTTACAGGTGGTAATCTATTTTAGGGAGGGGGAGGGCATCACGGGATGCATGGTCACAAGGATAGGGGTTATCTATTACAAATAGGCATGGTCATGAGGGTGGGAGTTATCGGTTGCAAGTATAGGGAAGGGTGTGGTAAATTACATAGTTACAGGGGTGGGGGTCTTGAGAAACCCAATGTCTAGGGGGATATTTCGCAAGGCTGAGCAGGAACAATGTTCAAATGTTGCAGGGGGAGAGCAATTAGTTGAGGCAGGAACCAGTCGTTTCATGTGTCTTTGTGGCCACCCGGTTACTTCAGACTTTCTGGCTCCTGGAGACCATCAGGAGGTGTATGAGCAGATCACCAAGGCTATAATGGCCAGGCTTGGACTTGGAGACCTGACACTAATAGTATCACTATGAGTTTTCCATGTGATGAACATTATTGTTTGCTATTACAAGGTCTTAACCACTTGAATAAATCCAGACCTATAGGATTAACCTTCTTGCTCTGCCTCGAGTGCCCCACCAGTCCTGGGCTCATTTCTCAGTGCTGTCTGCACAGATGTCATGAGATCTGGAGACACCAAACTGCACTCAGCTCCCATGAACTACAGCTACCTTTTCAGGCATTCAGAAATTTACTTCTTTCTTCGGTGTCCTTTTCTCACCAACCCTCTCCCTGGTGGGCCTGCTACTTCCCACTTACTTTTGATTAATAAGCTAAATCCCCTTAAACAGTAAGCATTGATCTCTGCATTTTACAATGGTGAAATTGAAATTTAGAAAGAGACTATGCACCCTCCCTCCCTCCCTCCCCAGATATGTATGGTCTTTTAATATCTGTACAATTCATCACCTTCTTCCTTTTGTTTCTGCCACCTCTTTCACCTTGAACCCCTTCCCTCCTACCTGCACCCACTGAATTTGGGGCTATCCCTTGAAGCCCAGCAGAAGTACCATCGCCTCTATGAAACTGTTCTGGGTTCCAGGGTAAACCTACAGCAAGTTCCACTTCAGCTTTTATAACTCCGTCCAGGCAGTTACTGGGTTTTTTCTTTTCTTTCTTTCTTTTTTTTTTTTTTTTTTTTGAAAACACGGTGTTGTTCTGTTGCCCAGACTGGAGTGCAGTGGTGCAATCATGTCTCAATGCAGCCTTCAACTCCTGGGATCAAGTAATCCTTTTGCTTCAGCCTCTCAAGTTGTTGGTACCACCACAGGTACAAGCCACTGCACCTGGCTGATTTTATTATTTTTATTTTTTGTAGAGATAGGGTTTCCCTATGTTGCCCAGGCGGGTCTCAAACTCCTGGGCTCAAGCAATCCTTCAGCCTCAAACTCCCAAAGTTCTGGGATTACAGGTGTGAGCCACTGGGCTCAGCCCTGTTACTGGGTCTTAATCATTTTTGTATCATCCATGGAATTTAGCAAATGAATCTTGTATTGGGAACTCAAGACATTTTTGTTGTATCAGAATCCAACTGATGCTAGCCATTAGTTGGATTCTGATACATCAGTTTTCCATAGACTGGTTATTTTTAGAATTCCAGGATTGTCCTAGTATTTTGATACCAAAAAACAAACAAACTGCTTGCTAAACATGCTCCACTTTGGCTAACTTCAGGAGAAAGGGAGATATAAGCCCATTACTTATAGAAGGTGTTTTATTGTATTCACCAAAGGATAATGGGGAGAAGAATACAACAGTGTAACAATGAAGGAAGGAAATAAACTTTCCAAATTCCTGCTTTGGGGGAGGTATACAGCAGCGGTGCACCCAGCTATAGGAATGTTATAAAAAAGCAAAAGGAAATAGAAATATGAATAATTGGATACAATGAAGCCAATGGTGAGCATTTGTAAGACAGGAAAGGGAAAGTTCCATCACTGCAGTTATCTGCATACTCTGAATTTGTGAATCCTTTCTCAAGACTATGCGGAAAGGGATTGCTTTAGGGAATATTTTTTGTGAAAATTGTTAACTTTTCCGTATGCTATTCTCTTTGAACTTCAAAGAAAAGAAAATGATCAGAGGGCTGTTACAAATGAATGACTATTCACTTGGACTTTTCCAGGGATGAGAAAAGTGCCACTGATGTAATGAGAGACAGTATCTTTCTGTAAATTATCTCCTCAGATTCAATGGCCTGTCTTTCAACATATAAAGAAATGAGTTTGTATATTTATCAAATTTTGTTCCCAAAGAAAAGCCTATTGCCAGTTTGTATATTTATCAAATTTTGTTCTCAAAGAAAAGCCTATTGCCATTATGTCTGCTTTATTGCCAAAACTGAATACAACTCTTTAATAAAATATATGCAGTATGGTAAGATGAAGAGCAAAATGAGATTTTCCCTAGTTCAACAGATAGAATTGAAGTAACAATCAATTTAATTAGGCAAACAGGGCTTGCCAATTAGAATGCAGGATTCCCTGGAGCCTTTTAAAACACAACGTAGAGAAAGTTGTTCTATCTAGCCCGGTATTTACAGTTGTGGAAGTTATACATGTAATTACAACATAAATATGCATCAAGATTTCTTGAGTGAAACTGGGTACAAGTGAAATAAAGGAAAGTTATACATCAGATTAATATTATGAGAGAGAAAAAGGAGCTAGACCCCTCCCCTGTGATGCCCATCACTGCACATCCCAGATTTCACAGAGAAGCGGGGTAAACTTGTGATCGTTTACTCTCCATGACATCAGCATTTCAGCATGGTGATGATTGAATGTCCGTAATTCAGTCAGGCGACCCAGGAGACAGGCAAAGTGTTGAGGATTTTCAGGCTGGTGAATTTTACACAACTTTTGTAGCACATCAAGAAGGGGTTCCTGAAGCTTTTCTACTGCCTCTCTATCCTTTATGTATTGTCTATCTGTTTTGAAGTTTAAAATAAAATGACAAAATTAAAAAGTGGAAAAGCATGAATTTGACATAATTATAGCAATGTTAACTATTTTGAAGTGTATGTTTACAAATGTTGTACACAGAAGGTAAAATTTAAGTGTTCAGCCTGACGAATTTTTATGGACACACACATGTAATTATAACGAGATCAAGATACAACACATGTAATGCTTCCCAGAAGGCCCCCTAATTTCCCTTCCAGTCAAAGCCCCTGGGGTGGACGTAAGCACCCTTTCTGGTGAGTATATTCTCAGATGTGAAATAACTAAGGCCATGCATAATTTTAGTAGGTTCTGTTGAGTAGTTTTTTTAGTCACAAATCATCATTTTTATGGTAAATCAAAGTAACAACTAGCTTCTGCCTCAATATAGTATATAAAATGGTCTAAGGCTAACATTGTAATTATGCTTTAGGAATCATGAACATGGCGTCATTCGACTCCCAAATTATTAAAGTAACTCAAAAATATAGAAAAAGTTATAGAGGTATTTATCTCAACATTTTTTAGGAAAAAAACCCTGGAAATATCCTGAATATACAAACATTTGGTAAAGATTAAGTAAATGATTATATATTCATACAATGGAATAAGTTGTACATATTACAACAAACTTACCAATGTAATTTTTAATGACTTGGGAAATGACTTTTGAAGAAATATAAACTCAGAAAAAAGTTCCCTATTATGTTAAAAAGTATGTAATTTCATTTAGATCTTTGCTCCAATGCTACGCACTTAGAAAAGCCTTCTGTGACCATAGATTAAAATACCATTTTCCTGCCACTCTCTTTCTTTATATTGTCATTAGATTTTAGTAGCATTTACCACCTTCTGAACAAATATTTTTGTTTTTTCATTTATTATCTTTCTCATCCTACCAGAATGTCAGCTGCACAGAAGCTGTATCTTGTTGCATCCCCAGTGTTTCACACCATGTTTATTACATAATAGGTGTTCAATATGCATTTATTGAATGAATAAGTGTGATTTTTTAAAAGAGACTGAGAAGAAGTGCATTGAAAGGTTAATAATGGTTCTATTTGGATAGTAAAATTATAGGCCGCTTTACTTTATGTTTCTGTGTTTACCAGACTTTTTCCAATAAACATTATTACTAGTATGCTGAAAAAAATGGCATAAAAATTAAAATGTAACATTGAAATTACCTGGAGAGAGGATAACAATTGCTGTAAGCAGAGCATACTCCTCTTGAGTCATTTTCAGTTCCCCAATACTTTTATAAAAACTAAACATAGGTGTTATGTATTCATCAGAGATACCTATGGGGGAAAGTTGCAGAGTCATCATAAAATTTTTGAGTGACTAAACAGTGTAAAACTAGAAGCACATTATACATATACACACATGCCAATTTTGCAACCAGATGCACACATTCAAATAACTACTGCATATTTATTATATTTATTATATGTCCAAAGGAAGGACATCCCAAAGACAGTCAGTTGACAAAATTCTCAAAATACAGCCAAAGCAATGAGTATATGTCTAATTTTGGCAGTATCTTTGTTTCAGACACTACTGAATAATCAATGATAATTGAATTGCCAAAAGAATCTCAAAAACATCTCCATTTTCCAGGTGGGATTTAGTTAATCTTTTGAATATGACTATCGATAATTAAGGCAAAGATCACCCACATTATTGCCATTGGTTATATGATGGCTTCCAGAAGTTCTAGTTCTTCATTCTCTTAGGTTTGAGTCTAACCGAAAAAAAGTGAGTCATTCTATATACTTCTTGAGTCAGAAAACACAAACCACTGTAGGTGCATCAAAAAGCAGGAACTTAACACAGACTTGGTTTTGCCAAAGAGTTGAGAAGGTAAACAGGAGCAGGTAAGTTGCTAAACAACTAACAAAAAATAGTTGTTCTCCAGTCCGGAAGTATAAACAGCTTCATTTCTAAATGGGCCAGGTTTCTTATCAAAGGGTTCTGATCTCTTGCTGAAGCACCAAGCCTACTTATCCATTGCCTACTAAGCATCAGTACTTGGCTGTTCTCTTCAAACCCAATATGTCCAAAACCAAAGACACCATGTACAGAACTAAGCTCACCCACATTTCTCCAAATCCATTTCTTTCCTGGCGTTCCCATTCTCGGTGAGTGGTATCCACACCACCCAACTGCCGAGGCCTGACAACTGAGATTCAGGAACCCAGTCCTGTGGCTTCTCCTGCTCACTCTCACCTGATGCTCTCACTCCTCCTTACTGCACCTGGCATCAACTTAGTTTAAGTTTCCATTTCTCTTATCTGGATTACTACAGTTGCCTCCTCACTGGCCTTCCTGTCTTTAGTTTGATTTCCTTTGATCCATCTTCTGCTATCCAGGTACTGGAACAACCTTTCTAAAAGTCAAATCACATACTTTCTCCTTACTTCTTACAAAAACCTTCTAAACCTCCCCATGGCTTTTGGCATATAGTTTTAATTTTCTTCCTTTTAATGTAGGAGCCTCTGGGACCTGTCCCCTGCCTATGTCACCATTCACAATAACAATGTTAATAGTAGGAGTACTCTGTATTGTGAAACATTTTAACCACTTAAGATACCATAATTCATTTAATAGTTCTAAACCCCATGAGGTAGATACAGGAAGTTTGTATAACTGGCCCAAAGACACTTAGCTGAGACAGGTGGAACTAGGATTCAAACCAAAGCTGGCAGGCTCTAGAGTCCTGGCAGTGGCTGTGGCTAAGCTGCATTACCTCTCTATCACACTGCCTTTCCTCTAGCCACCCCCAGCCACTTGTAGTTTCCCAAACAATTCACATTTTGTACATGTTATGCTCTCTACTTGAAATGCCCTTTTTCTCTTTTATCTAGCTCACTCCTTTTTGTCATTTAAGACTTCTAACCAGGTGCAGTGGCTCACGCCCATAAGCCCAACACTTAGGGAGGTCAAGGCTGGAAGACTGCTTGAGCTCAGGAGTCTGAGAATAGCCTGGGCAACATAGCAAAACCCCATCTCTACAAAAGCTAAAAAAGTTAGCTGGGTGCAGTGGCACGCCTGTGGTCCCAGCTACTCAGGAGGCTGAGGTGGGAGGATCGCTTGAGCCTAGAGGTTGAGGCAGCAGTAAGCTGTGATTGTGCTACTGCACATCAGTCTGTGTAACAAAGTGAGATGATGTCCCCCCCCCAAAAAAAAAAGACCCGGCACAGTGGCTCACACCAGCAATCCCAGCACTTTGGGAGGCCAAGGTGGGTGGATTACCTGAGGTCAGAAGTTTGAGACCAGTCTGACCAATGTGGTAAAACCCCATCTCTACTAAAAATACAAAAAAAAAAAAAAAAAAAAAAAAGCCAGGTGTGGTGGCATGCACCTGTAATCCCAGCTATTCAGGAGGCTGAGGCAAGGGAATTCCTTGAACCAGGGAGGTGGAGGTTGCAGTAAGCAGAGATTGCACTACTGCACTCCGATCTAGGTGACACAGAGAGAGAGAGAGAGAGAAAAAAAAAAAAGACACTGTCTCAACAAAAACAACAACAACAACAACAAAAACCTATTGGTGCCACTTCCTGCATTCAATAAATATTACTTTGGTGCCTGTTCTGTACATTGCTTTCTTCCACAAGAGCCATTGGATGGGGAATCGTGGTGACAGAAAAACAAAACAGACAAAAAACCTGTGATGTAACGTACGGGTTAATTGAGATGAGGATGTTTAAAACAAAACAGACAAAAACCTGTGATGTAACGTACGGGTTAATTGAGATGAGGATGTTTCCCAGGATTGGTCCAGATGAGAATAGACCACTCTATTTCTTCCACACCAGATCCAGAGCTAAGAGCTTTGGCTGAGCAAACCAGAATAAACTTTGATTCCAGATGCTAAAGAGTACAATTATCATCTAATGGTATACCTATCAGGAAACCTAAGTTCTCACTTTTAGAAGAGTATCAGAAGTGAAATAACTCAGAAGCAGAAAAATCACATACCGCATGTTCTCACTAAACAATGGGTACACATGGACATACAAATGGAAATAATAGACATTGGCAACTCTAAAAGGTGGGAGGGTGGGAGGAAGGTGAGGGTTGAAAGATTACCTATTGGGTATGATGTTCACCATTTGGATTATGGATGCTTTCACTGGAAGTCCAAACCACATCATTACACAATAAACCCATGTGAAATAGTTTGGATGTTTGTCGCCTCTAAATCTCATGTTGAAATGTAATCCCGAGTGTTGGAAGTGGGGCCTAGTGGGGGATGCTTAGGTCATTGGGGCAGATTCCTCATGAATGGCTTGGTGCCCTCCCCATGGTAATGAATGAGTTCTTACTCTATTAGTACTGTGAAATATGAACGTTTAAAAGAACCTAGCATCTCTCTTTCTCCCTGTCTTACCATGTGACATGCCTGCTCCCCCTTCACCTTCCACCATGAATAAAAGCTCCCTGGGGCCTCCCCATAAGCTGAGCAGATGCTGGTGTCATGCTTGTACAGCCTGCAGAACCACGAACCAAATAAACCTCTTTTCTTTATGAGTTACCCAGTCTCAGGTATTCCTTTATAGCAATGCAAAACAGACCAACACACCATGTAATAAACCTGCACATGTACCTCCTGAATCTAAAACAACATTTTAAAAAATTAAAATGAATACAAAAAGGGAAAACATTACTTCTAACATGCATGGACACAGCTTTCATTTTCTCTACCTTAAAGTGATGCTAATGGTAGTAAAAGATCCCGAAGTACACTAGGATTTCTTCTTTTCAGTAATTATACCGATCCTTTCCTTGGATATAGGATTTCATATTTTTCAAATACATAAATGAATTTAATTCTGTATGAGAATCCTGTGCAGAGAGTACTGATAAGCCAGTATTACTATCCCCATTTCAGACTTGAGAAAATAAGGCTCAGAGAGGGTACGCTGATTGACTAAGTTTACTAGCATAATAAATGGAAAATCCAAATCTACATTTTCTGAATCTTGATCCAACACACATTCCCAAATTGCCTTCGGTAAAACACATATACATGCCACAAGACCGGTCTCTCAAGCGCTATAATCATGGGTAAACTGCTTTAAGAAAATCTTAGCTATAAACATTCAGATAAAATAAGGAGTAAATAATAAAGGAAGGTGATGAATTATTTTGTAATTTATAAAGAGAGTTACATGATTTATTTAATTTTTTGGATTTATTTAAATTTTGAGCACAATAAATGTTTAAATATACTTTTAAAAAAGAGTCTTCCCAAATTAAATCATTGGCCTTTTCCTCTCTGGTCAAAATACCACCCTCTTCTCCCCTTTGACTTTGATTCTTTAATTGATCCCAGTGGACTCTATTAACAACAATGTCTTTGTTGAACGATTTGGAAATTACATCATATGGAAGATCCAGCTGATGCAGAATGAACTAAATACCCATAACCCAACTAGATACAACTTAAAGTTCAGAGGATTGGAGAATGTGAGCCTGGGGAATACCAGTCCTGACTTCCAGCAAACCTAGTGGTTAAGAGGTTGTGAGCCAATTCTGAGTTTGAAATCAAAGTCCACGACTTGGTCTTAGAACACTACTTAAACTCTTTAAGCCTTCCTTTTCTCATCTGTGAAATGTTGTCATGTGTAATATAATGTGTACTCCATATAACAATAGTATTATATGAGATGTATAGAGAGTGCTTAGCAAAATGCCAGGTTCACAGTAAGTCCTCGATAAATGTCAGAGCAGATAATTTTTATTATCATTATTCAGGAGAAATGAATCAACACATTAGCCTATCTTAATTTCAATTCGTCTTAGTCTTAGATTAAATGTGTGAATTTTTTTGTCTTTACAAAGCCATGTTGGTTTTTAAAAAACCAACAAATTCTGCAAATTACTGTGAATAAATACAAACTGGCTGATCAATGATTTGCCTGGATATTTTTCCAGGTATTAAAGCTAAACTAAGTTCCCTATTTTCTTGGTAGGGTTGTTGTTTTTCATCTTCAAAAAAATGTTAATCTTTATGCTTTCCTCAGCATTCAGAGACTATACTCATCGGTTACCTAAAATAATACTTTATGTCTATGACATTAATTAATTAATTAATTAATTTATTTATTTATTTTTTAATTTTTTTTGAGACGGAGTTTTGCTCGTTACCCAGGCTGGAGTGCAATGGTGCGATCTCGGCTCACCGCAACCTCCGTCTCCTGCGTTCAGGCAGTTCTCCTGCCTCAGCCTCCTGAGTAGCTGGGATTACAGGCACGTGCCACCATGCCCAGCTAATTTTTTGTATTTTTAATAGAGA